TCTCTTCTCTCTTCTCTCTTCTCTCTTCTCTCTTCTCTCTTCTCTCTCTCTCTCTCTCTATCTCTCTCTCTCTCTATGTATATATCTATCTATCTATCTATCTATCTATGTCTCTCTCTCTCTTTCTCTCGCGCTCTCCTCTCTTCTCTTCTCTTCTCTTCTCTTCTCCTCTCCTCTCCTCTCCTCTCCTCTCCTCTCTTCTCTTCTCTTCTCTTCTCCTCTCTTCTCTTCTCTTCTCTTCTCCTTGTCCTTCTCCTTCTCTTTCTCTTTCTCTTTCTCTCTTCGATCTGTCCTCGGACTTGAACCAATCAGCAGGGGGTTCATCATCTTCCTCATCTTCCTCTTCCTCTTCGTCCGGTACATCATCTTGGGCAGAGGCTGCTGCTGTGCTCGCCTCGTGCAAGGATCCCTGCAGCGAGCGCAGCTCTTGCTTCAGAATACGGTTCCTACAGGCAGGTTGCACTGAGTGCTTCTAGAGGAAGTTTGGTGTCACCTACAGCCTCAAGAATGTAGACAAACGTGCAACCTTTCAGCATTCAAAGAATGGCAGGTGTGCGAAAAGTATCGTCTTGTCTCACACCAAGAAGTTTGTCTCCAAACCGACAAACAGATGGTGGGCGTGTCATTTGGAGAACTTGCACGCAGTGAAATGGCAGTGCCAAATGAGAGCGCACACCATGCCATACAAGAACAAAAGCATTCCCGCACAAAATGTAGAACATATGTTTTTCTACAGCAAAAACTGCGTAAACGCAATTCCTGTCATGCGTAAAACTGCCCGACCCAAAAAGTCCTCTGTGACACAGAAACATGCTCACTGAAGGCTGCTGCCTTTCCAGCACGCTTGTTGAGCCATTGGATCATGAAGTCCATTGGGATGGTTGGCATCTCTGCGAGGACATCACCTAGGTTAAAGCTACATAGGTCCCAGAGTATCACTTTTTGTCTTGGCTCAAGCAAGAATCAAAACCACAGCTTGCTGGTTTCCCAGAGTTTCGGGGGCAGGCAAAGTGCATCAAGGTGTACAAAAGGAAGTCAAAAGCCAAGGCAAATACTGGGTCAGTCATCGCTCTTGGGGTTTGGGGTGTGCTCTCCTCACAAGGTTTACGGCTCACATGACCGGCTCACATGACGCCGCACGCGTCGATCAATCCAATGAACAAAAGGTCAAACAACTCAAGGGAAACCCCCGTAGCATCTAGAAATTGGTTGTTTCAATCAGTCTGCATGAAGGCACCACCACTCAGAAAGTGTCGCCAGGAGATCTTTGGTTTTCTTTTTCCTGCATTCCCTCCCTCCTGCCTTCCCTTACCAATACAATCCCAACTAAGTAAGGCAAGCTCGTTGCATCCCGGCGGAACTTTGAGCTACAACAGAACGTATGCACCTTTTGTTTTGACTCGAGGGATTTGGCAAAAATGCCTTCCATTTCGCCAAGTCACTGACCATTTCCTCCAGAATCGGATCAAGAATCTGGAGGACGTACTCCTTCTTCTCCTCTGCAAACGGCAATCCGTCGACTACCGACATGGTGAGGGCGTCACAGACTGACTGGGCTACACAATTGTTGGCAACACTTGAGCAGCCTGGGCGCGCGACATGTTGACTGACGTTGAAGCAAAATAGATCCCCAACGATGAAGGGAGTAACAAAGACACAGGCATCAATGCTCAATAAAGTCTCGCGTTTGGTAAAGAGTTAGGAGTTCTGTAAAACATGCCGCTTGGGAAAATCAATCCGAGAACACTCGCTGCTTGTTGTGTTACTGCTGACAGTGAAGGTGTGGCTGCACTTGGGTGCCGACTGCGCCAGGCCAAAGATTTCCTGGAGCTGCTGCCCTGCATACCCGACCGACATGGCCGAAATGATTCATCTCATGGACCAAGTGGTTTCCCCAATCATAAACAAGTTATACGATGGCAATTGACCATATGTGGCAGTGTTGCATTCGGTGCATATTCTGGTGCCCGTGCTGCGGAGTGTTCACGGCTGACCTTAATTATCAAAGCCTAGGCTGATTGACACCTTGCCTGAGACACCAACTTTACCTTGTGGTAACCCTACTGGAAGTAGGGACCTTGCAAAACCTTCCTTGAGGCACCATGACTCTCTCCCTGGGCAATGGAATTTGGAACTGCATTAAAAATAGACTAGTTCTGACTAGATAGACCTCTGCGGGTAGGTCAACAGCACATTCACCAACCCTAAAGCCACCCGAAAGTATTCTGTTTCCACCAGCACCAGAGTCACCAGAGCTACAGGTTTACATAGCTACGTCGTGTGCATCAAGACTGCCAAGTTGTTCATATGTCGATCTTTTGTACTCCATAACCTGTACGCTGAAGATATGCAAACGCTGATCCCACAGTCGCACACCAGTTCAAAAAAGACATCCAAAACTCCAAGCCTCTGCAAAGCCAACAAGATTGATTCAGCCTGACAATCTCAGCTTTGCGTACTTGCGTACTGCCCTCAAGTTGATACCAACACAAAATGCAAAATTGAGCTAGTGCTTCAGCATGGTACATTGTTACACACAATATAAATATGTATGTATATTTAGATTTTTAATAATCCGCCGACCCCACACCGTGGGGTGAGGCGTGACTGTTGATGTTAGCCTTAGCCTTAAGCCTTAGCCTTAGACTTAGCCTTAGACTTAGACTTAGCCTTAGACTTAGCCTTAGCCTTAGACTTAGACCTTACCTCCCCTACCCCTCCGGACCCTTGTTGCAGTGACGGAATCCGCCCAGATTGTGACGAAAGTGTGACGTTATTGCGACCTGGATTGTCCAAGATTCTGCCATCCCAATTGATTTACATCTTGGGGCACCCTCTCCACCCGCGCGGGAAAATAAGCACGGTCCAAAATGGTCCTGGGCTCGAATCCCGGGCTGGTCGCGGCGTGTTCCCGGCCAATGCCCTTGATTTTTCCTAGATTTTGTCACGGTTTCTGTTGGATTTGTGGGATTTTCAAAGGCTTTTCCAGCATTTTTGCTCTTGGTTTTTTCTAGATTTTGTCACGTTGTCCGCTGGATTTCTAGGAGTTTCAAGGGTTTTTGTGGTATTTCCTCTTGTTTTTGGGTTCCCAGATTTCCCCAAAAAATTGCTAACCTATTGCTAACCTATTTGCTAACCTATTGCTAACCTATTTGATTCCATTGTTGTACTCATGCCTATACGGCTTTTCCAGCATTTTCGTAGGAATGCTCTTGGCTTTGTCTAGATTTTGGCAGGACCCCGCCCGCGACCATCCCGGGACCCAACCCTGCCACTACATTTTCCCTTGGGGTCGGCGGCTGCAGGCGGTAGCCTGGTAAATACTACTATTACTATTACTATTATGTCTATGTGTGTTATGTTTGTTTTTATTCACTCCATGTGAGCCAAGCTGATCCCCGAACCCCTTGCATTTGAACCATACGGCCAGCTGCCTTTGGCCAATTTGCATAAACCTTGGAATGCAAAGTTCCTTCTCGTGTTGAAAGAGGGTAATCCTCATTTTAGTGCATTTCTGGTGTTGATCAGCGATGCTACCCAGGTACCATGTCGCCAAAGAGCAACAGCAGCCGCTCCCTTCAGCCGCTTCGAGTGGGGCATGGACGAACGCCATGAGTAGCAGTTTGCTCAAAGATTTGGTATACCGAGCCTCACTGCACTCTGCACATCGCTGATGCGACCAGAGATTGAGGTCAAGGCCTCAAATGGAGCTGTCTCCGAAGATATGAGAAACGAGTACAAAAATATGTGTCTGACAAATCTTGAAGACAGATCAAAATATGTGTATCAATATGGTCTCAAATGCTCCTCCTTTGCTCTGAACTTGTTGAACTCTTGACATTGAGCCCAGCTCACGCACGACAATGTCAGAGTTGTCCAGCCTCTACGGCAGTGTGCCAAGCTACATGACTCCAGCAAAGTGATGGCCTCCAACCTACTAGCGATGGCCTCAATCTAATAGCAACTCAATGGCCTCCAACCGAATAGCGACGGCCTCCAACCTACCAGCGATGGCCTCGAACCTGATAGCGACGGCCTCCAACCTACCAGCGATGGCTTCGAACCTGATAGCAATGGCCTCCAACCTACTAGCGATGGCCTCCAACCTACTAGCGATGGTCTCCCACCTACTAGCAATGGCCTCCAACCTAATAGTGATGGCCTCCAACCTACTAGCGATGGCCTCCAGCCCAAGAGCCATGGCCTCCAACCTAATAGCAATTGCCTCCAACCTACTAGCGATGGCCTCCAACCTAATAGCAATGGCCTCCATCCTAATAGCAACAGCCTCCAACCTAATAGCGATGGCCTCCAACGTAATAGCAATGGCCTCCAACCTAATAGCGATGGCCTCCAACCTACTAGCTACAGTACTACAGCACATTACAGCTACGTCTTCACTGCAAAAACCATGCGATCTGAGGACAGCACACCCGCATTAGATTCAAATAGTCATAGTAGCCTTGACAACAAGCTCAAAGCTGCGTCCCGGTGGCCAACAGTCCAAATCATGATGAAGGGAATCACTGCAAAGTGCCTGGTGTTGACTTTCGGTCCCAGTTGATGGAAAGCATTGCATAAACCTCAGGGTGGCCCTTGCCTTTTTCGCTGACACTGCACCATGCTTGCGCCTACAATCGCTAGTGCAAGCAAGTCAGGAGTGAGCCAGGCCAAACACTACCGACTTTTCCTCCTCGTGGCAATCCTGCAGGGTAAAGTTTTACCATCAACATGCGTCAAACTTTAATATAGTTAGTCTTCTTGTTTATAGAGCTTTAGCTCAGGCTTGGTTTCAGGTTCCCGTAAAGTATCAGCTTGCTTCGATGTGGGTGAAGCTGGAAAGAAAGATTGAGATATGCAACGGGACTTGCTGTATCACAAGCATGTTCAATCGGTGGTCTATTTATATATATATAAAGTATATAAGTGAATGGACAACTGACTTGGAGACATCTGGAAGGACAAAACAGCTCATTCAAGCCAGCGCTTTGTTGGGAGCGTAAATCAACTGCCATGCTGATGGATAGCATGGAAGGTAACGGCCGATTGAAAAAGCCCCTTTGAAAAAGCTCCTAGTAGCGTCCTTGCTCCTAGTAGCGATGCCCTTTGCTCCTAGTAGCGTCCTCTATACACTTACCTTCTTGTTCATGTCTGTTTGTCTTCTATACGCTTGTCTACACAAGTTCTCTCAAGAATTTTTGACCCAGGCCGACCGCCAGAGCGAAGAGCTCGGTCAGCACTTTTCCATGGGGCGCATCAGGATCTGCGGCGACAAACAGTTTGTTCTTCCAAGGATTCGCAACACAAAGTACTGCTTCCAAATGCTCTCGTCATCTTGTACCAAGGGGTCATGAAGCATAAATTGAAATAAAGAATCCAAGCAAATCTCTGCAATTAAAGCTCATGATGTTCATGTTGGGGTCATTATGTCCCTCCCCGCACGATGCCCACACCCAAACAGAGCTGACCAAACCAAACCTGTCGTCCAACCCACATCGTCCTGAAGTAGACTGGAGATGGCCAAGGCATGGGGCGAAGACCTCCGAAATGCACGAAATCCGCAGCAGTTGGTGAACATTGGAATGTCCACAGGTTTTCCATATTGAAACGAGGAACTTACGCTACAAGAAATAATCTGAAATCGACATTGCCCCTTGGAATTCGATTGAGAATGCTGCTGCTTTGGAATGCTTTCTTTGCTACACTTCGACTCTGTATGCTTGCCTTAGAGACATGTCAAGTCTCTCGGCCATGTCCAAGACTGTCCAAGCTAGTGCATAAATGAGATCTTGTCCAGCTTACGCTGACCAGCTGTATTTCAACAGAACTGACAACAAGGTGCGTGCCTTCTTGTTAAGGCCTGGCAAATCAAGTTGAAGGAAACAGAGATAAACACAGCCCTTGTCCAATCAAGGAGTAAGCTCTCCAAATCAAGGAAATAGCATCGGCTTCGTGCTATGGATTAGTAAGTAAGGGGTAGTCAAGCGATGGCCTCCTACCTACTAGCAATGGCCTCCAACCCAATAGCGATGGCCTCCTGCCTAATAGCGATGGCCTCCAACCTAATAGCGAACAAAATTAAATCTGAGCATGAGCGCCTTCAAAATGAAGTCTTGCAGCTGTTTCGATGGCGTCAGGAGGATCCAAATGCCTGAGATTTAAAACGTGCAGTTGCGTTGGAAATGTCTACATCACAAATGTCATTGAACTTGAAAGTAGAACAAACTGACTGGCAACACAGACTTGCCCACAGGCCTTTTGCAGTACCATCCTTGGTCACTAAAGCAAGTATGTAATTAGCACCTAGCACCTAGTATGCTGTATAATGAAATTAACAGGCTGTCATTCCAGGCCTGGCAGATTGCTGATTGGGATGGCATGCCAGGGGCCATGCTTCATCTAATCTCAACCCATAAAACTTGCTGCACAGTCTTGGAGTGTTCTTCGAATCGTCCCTTAAGGCAGCTTACTGCGGTGATCAGATGTCCTATCGGTAAATCAATTTGCGTGTTCATTTCTGCACAGCATTGTGTGTGTGTGTTAGAAACCTTGTTTGCAAACACCAACAAATTGGGCTTGGGGCTATCTTGGTGTCTCTTCGAGAACCGATGGTTCTTGGTGTGAGCATCTCATTGATTCACAATGCTAATGCTCGGGCCAATGCCAGCGGCTGACAGGCAGCACCTTTGCAGCAGCTATGGCCCCAGCTGCACTGGCAATATGAAACAAAATGTTGAAGGATCGGGCAAGTCTTTTCATCTAATCCAGTTGGCAAGCTCTCACCCTCACTTTGGGTGGTCTTGCTCACTTAAGTCGGACCACCTCAGTAATTCACCAAAATTCGGACAAATACCTGCGATCTTTGCTCATGCCGCTGCCTGCTTCTGCTTCACTAAGCCATAGGCTGTGGGCTTGTTGCCATGATAGGCAGCTACCCTGACACAGGCAGAGACCCTAACTTTAGCCCATGTATTATACAGCAAGAACGTATTGCCACAATCGCTTCAACTGTTCCTTGTGAATCAAGACCGGAGTTATCTTTTCTCTCGCACACAGGGTGATACAGGATCTTACGTTTGCACCACAGCAAACAAACACGGGTGGCACTAGATTCTAGATGTATCCGCCAAAATAGAGCCGCCATGGGGTTAAGCAAAGCGCAGCAAACAGCACGTCGTTCGCAAAATCAAATAATCGCTTTTGTAACCTCTGCCAAAGTCTAAAGCAGGTTTCTCAACGAATACTTTTTGATCTGAGAAAATCTCAATAAAATAGAAAAAACATATTCTGGAAATACGAACAAGGATCGCTGGGTCGAAGGCTGTAAGGACTTGTGGGGATTCGAGTAAGGTCATGCTCAGCACGTTGCAAAGGAAAAGGAGCACAGTGGCAAGAACTCCAGCTGTCCAAAGTCGCTTTAGGAGCACAGATTGGTCGATCCTTGACTCCAATCACAGACTCTAGACTCTAGTCCATTGCTCTTTGCATAATGGCAGCCCGAAAATGCTATAAATGTGGAGAACATAGTATCCGAAAATAGCAAACTGAGAAAGGTTTGCCGCTTGCCTTTGCTTTTTGTCAAGCTTCGGTGCGGTGGCATCCTTGGAATAGGCGCCAGCAACAAAAGCCCCCACCAACCAACAAAGCGCAAGAACGAAGCCATGTGCAAGGATCGGCTTTCCAATGCCATAGTCAGTGACATCCCAGAAGTCCGTCCACAAAGGAGTGTACTTCTGATCAGGGTTGTAAAAACCTTTGACCATCAATGCCCTTACCTCTTGACTGCCAGCCCTTGGCAAACAAACTTCTAGCTCCCAACAATGCTTTGCCTTTCGCACCATTGTTTTTTGAACCTTGTCAAGTCTGTGCCTTCGTCTTGAAATAAACTTCGATGATAACTGCCGGTGTTATCAGGCCTATGGCCAGCAAGTCTCCCACAAGCAATCGGGTGTCCACGTTGACCTCTTCACGCCTCAACATCTGTGGGAACTCTCAGCCGGTGTACCAATGACCCATTGCCCGCATTTGGTTGGCAAAACATAATGTACATAAAAGTCTTGGACACCAGAATTTGGCAGAGTTGCTCGGGCACAGGTCGCTCCGCGAAAAGAACTGCAACAGTGAAACGCCAAATAACTAGCAGCAAGACCTGCACACCAGCTCCATGCTCAGAACCAAGAAGACAACTACTGTGCACAAATTATGCCATCCCAACAAAGGCACCCAACACTCGACTTTACGATTCCGGCTTACTGCTCTACGGCTTTTCGCTTCGGAATGTTCATCTGCCTCGCCTGGAATTGTAAGTCAATGAAGAAGTCAGCATAGGTAGGAATGGCATGTGGTGGTGCCTGCAAGGGGCACATGCTCGTGGTCTGGAAACAAAAAAAAATATATATATATATATGTGTGTGTGTGTCCACCCCTGGGCAAAGGGTTTCCTACTGCCACTTCCACTACCACTTTTCAACCCCAGTTCCACAGGCAGGGGGGCAGTGATCCTTTCAGCAGTCACTGCCTAACAAAGACGCTGCTGATCGGATGTGATATTCAGAGAGGACGCTCTCTGAACGTACCTGCTGAAGTTTTCACAAGCTGTTACCCTACTCTTCCACGTTTTGTTTCATGGATCTTCATGATACGTCCCTCAAACCTTTTCTACCACCCTTTGCACTGCAGCTGAGCCGCGTCGACGTTCGCCACCGCAGACATGACAACAGATTGTTCAACAATACAAGTGCGCTGACCCTTTCACCTTGCGGTTCTTCGCCATCCTTCCCATCGTGGTAACTGAGTTAACTGAATACAATTGTCAGCGTGTGTTTCGCTCAGCTGTCCCACTCGGGTGCTGAGTGTGATCCCCGTCATTGGGGCGCTGTCTCATCGCGCAAGCATTAACTGACCTCACCACTTTTCACGGGAATTCCACCGGAAGTCACCGACACAACCACTGAATTAACTGACACAAAGGCTGCCGAGCCTCATCACGGGAACTGACAGTTTTGCAACACTTGCTTTTTTGAGATGTTTGACGGCTAAGTATTCACATGTGCATGTGCTGCTAAGTATTCACAGGCCGGATGAATTAACCGTGCCTTTTCCCCTCCCTACCCCTGGGCCTCCGTTGCTACCCCACCCGCTACTCGGGAAACAGAAGGAAATCGCACTCAACACACTTGTGTGTTGGTGCCTTTCCTTCTGTTTCTCCTAGCCTATTGCTAGCTACCCGGGCGGTTTAAGACAAATGTCCCGCTCGCGCTCTACTTTCATTTAACTAAGTGGGCCTCGTAACTTCCCCTATCTTTCTTTCTTGCCCTCTTAGTCTGCTTTTGTTTTGTTTGCTTTGTCTGTCTTTCTAAGGCTTTTTAGGTGGCTATTAGTTTTTCGCAGCGCCAATATTGGCGCTTTCTGTACAAAGTATTTTCCACCAGCAGGGGCGCCGAAGACGGCGATCTGTGTGTGTCCACCCCTGGGCAAAGGGTTTCCTACTGCCACTTCCACTACCACTTTTCAACCCCAGTTCCACAGGCAGGGGGGCAGTGATCCTTTCAGCAGTCACTGCCTAACAAAGACGCTGCTGATCGGATGCGATATTCAGAGAGGACGCTCTCTGAACGTACCTGCTGAAGTTTTCACAAGCTGTTACCCTACTCTTCCACGTTTTGTTTCATGGTTCTTCATGATACGTCCCTCAAACCTTTTCTACCACCCTTTGCACTGCAGCTGAGCCGCGTCGACGTTCGCCACCGCCGACATGACAACAGATTGTTCAACAATACAAGTGCGCTGACCCTTTCACCTTGCGGTTCTTCGCCATCCTTCCCATCGTGGTAACTGAGTTAACTGAATACAATTGTCAGAGTGTGAAAAGAATGTCCGCGGAGGCCACAAGAATTTTGCGGGCGCCAAGGCAAGCCCCAAAATACACAGTATATCTTTGACTGCTTTGTTAAACGCAAACAAGATGCAGAATACCCAGTCATGGTGTAGGCACTTTCCAGATTCCCACTGAAACGCAGGAATAACCATACCAGGTTCGCAAGGAATCCGCTTGTTTCTGCTGCGAGTGCAGTGCGCTTTACAGTTTTCACCAAATCTTGAGAGTCCACCGCATCTGCTTCAAATGCTCTCATCACAAGTCCTCCTATACACCAGCACAGCCAGAACATTACACCATGTGAAGCCTCGGGAAATATAAAGGCATTTCCGTTGTTCTCGGAGTGCATAAACCACTCTGGTTTCAATGCCCCCGCCAGCCGGGACAAGATTGCAAGAAAAGGAGCAGCAAAGATACAGGCCGCCAAGTCTCCGAGCAAAGTCCACCCATTGGCAAGGCTGGGTGGAGGGAGTCCTTCAAAGACTCCGGGTAGGGGAAATCCCACGTCTTGTGGGACTTCCACCATGTCATTGACTACAGTGCTCTGAGTGCTCTGTCGTTCTTCTGGAACACTTTCTGCCTCTTTGCCTCCTCCCTTACATCTGCTTTGCGTCTTTCGCCGTGCAAAGGCACGGCCCAAAACCAAGAAGCAAGACCCCATGGCGCGACCGCTAGGTCGCGAAGTGCCAACACTCTGAAGTGACCTCGCACGTCTACAGCGGACATGTGACAAGTCCAACGTACAGATCTTTTATGTTTCAAGCTTAAACAGTGGCCCGCGCTAGTAGGCTGGAGGCCATTGCAAGTAATTAGGTTGGAGGCCATGGCTATTAGGTTGAAGTACTTCTTCAAACTCCACGAAACCCGCTTGTTTTTGCCCAGTGCCTGACACTCCAACTCGACACCTTCCCATCCCTTGCAATTCTCGGGGAGCGCAATCCGTGGGAAGGTTGGAAGAACTGGTGCAGCTGCATTTCTTCGCTACACCGATAAACGAAGGTCCGACGTTTGGGTCTGGGGTTTCCGAGTCGCTAAAGCTACCTTTGAGCCGCGACTGCTTCGGCAATCAACTCCGTGGACGCGGCGCGGTCGTTTCCGTGTCAAGACATCGCTGAGAAATCCGAAGTAGCAAGCGTGCTGGCTGCGCTTAGGGTCAACGGCTACTTCCACTCCATCCATGGAAGCCAACCTCAATGAACAAGCCATGTCTCAAGCAAACCAGGACTTGAAATATTAATACGGTACTTGGTCCGATAAATTTGGATTCTACCAGCGATGGCCTCAACCTAGCGATAGCCTCCAACCTGATAGCAATGGCATCTTTGCAGATGGTTTTTTGCCGAGAGCGTCTGCGAATGGTTTTTCGTAAAGAAGCATCTGTAGAACTACGTCTCATCTACATCTTCACATCTGCACATCTACATCTCTGCTCATCTTCACATCTGCACATCTACATCTCTGCTCATCTTCACATCTGCACATCTTCACATCTGTACATCTACATCGTCACATCTTCACATCTGCACATCTCACATCTGATGCGTATCCTGTCGCTCTTCTTTTCTTTCTCTCTTAAGGCCGGGGGCGGTGCCGCCGGAGCACCACGAACCGCAGCCCTCTGCGGAGATCGTGCGTGTCGAGGGCGCGAAACGCAGGTGAGATTGCGTTTTGGATTGGTCGCGCGCAACCCTCTGCGGAGATCGTGCATGTCGAGGGCACGAAATGCAGGTGAGATTGCGTTTTTTTGGATTGGTCGCGCGCAACCCTCTGCGGAGATCGTGCGCGTCGAGGGCGCGAAATTCAGGTGAGATTGCGTTTTGGATTGGTCGCGCGCAACCCTCGATCTGCGGAGATCGTGCGCGTCGAGGGCGCGAAGTGCAGGTGAGACTGACCGCGCGCAACCCTCTGCGGAGATCGTGCGTGTCGAGGGCGCGAAATTCAGGTGAGATTGGGTTTTGGATTGGTCGCGCGCAACATTCTGCGGAGATCGTGCGCGTCGAGGGCGCGAAGTGCAGGTGAGATTGCGTTTTGGATTGGTCGCGCGCAACCCTCTGCGGAGATCGCGCGCGTCGAAGGTGCGAAACTCAGGTGAGATTGCGTGTTGGATTGGTCGCGCGCAACCCTCTGCGGAGATCGTGCGTGTCGAGGGCGCGAAATGCAGGTGAGATTGCGTTTTGGAGAATCGGCGCTTCACTTTTGGAGGAAGTCTCGTACGAAACACTCGTTTTGGAGAATCGGCGCTTCACTTTTGGAGGAAGTCTCGTACGAAGCGCTCGTTTTGGAGACTTGGCGCTTCATTTTTGGAGGAAGTCTCGTACTAAACGCTCGTTTTGGAGACTTGGCGCTTCACTTTTGGAGGAAGTCTCCTACGAAACGCTCGTTTTGGAGACTTGGCGCTTCACTTTTGGAAGAAGTCTCGTGCGTTTGCGTGGCGCCGTGCCACCGGGAAGCGCGAAACACGCTGGTGTAAACGCGGCATGTCGCTGGTGAGCGGGATGATTGGCGGTATCGCGTGATATGATTGCTTGTAGTGTGTGGGCTGCGGATTTGCGCGGCCTTGGTGGGAAGTGCGTTTGCGTGGCGCCGTGCCACTGGGGAGCGCGAAACATGCTGGTGTAAACGCGGCGTGTCGCTGGTGAGC